TTTCTTTCAAATAGCCTCTATTTTAATGGGGATTTTATTGGTACCTATTTAGGGAATTGGAGACACGGTGGAGTAATGATAGCGGCTCGGATTGAGGAATCAGAGAGCCGAGTTCGAATTCCAGTCGAATTCGAATGTGCTAATACTCTTGCGAAAAGATTGAATCCTCCTCTTCTGGCCATTACCTATGGGGAAAATGGCAGGACAGACTGGGTTCTATAGCCTTTGGTGGCAACCGGTCTAGGAGAAAGTAACTCTGAATTCAAAACTGTATGTAGCTCTGGCGTAGCATCCTATAAAGGATCGTTCGTATTGGCTCGATGAGCCAGATTGCGGTCGAATGATGATGAGTGAATTGATTTTTTAAACTGCCTTTCACACATAATTTAAAATGAAAAATTTCTCAGAGTTAACCTGTAGAAAAAGGCAATATTTATAAATAAAAAATAAAAACAGGAAAACTGTAATTGTTGCCGACGCGTTTCGTCCTTTGTGCTCATAAATGCGTTTTTTAAAATTTCTACTTGTTTCTCCAATATATTGGAAAAGAGAACAAAAACAACTTAGTTAATGCACTAGTCATACAGAGAAATAAATCCAACCATAATTTTGATTTTAAAAATGCTACACTCATAAAAAAAGAAAATAACTCACTCAGAAGGAAAATCCTCGAGAGTGCCGCCATTGAATATTACCCAAATATTAATCTACGCCCAGGTCTTTTCCTTATTTCACCTTTCTTAACAATTACTACTCTCCCAAACAAACGTACACAACAGTATCAAGAAATCAAAGGAAAATGGTGGAATCTGTCAATACAGCAAACAAAAAACAATATCTCCACACGTGACAGTAATTGACGTAATTTCAGTTAACAGTATGAAAATAGCGTTCTCTAAATTCTTCCAATTGCTAAGGACATTTTGTTTTGTTATTATTAGTTATTTCGTTTAATAATTCGCTTTGCCTTGAGAAAATCCACATTGTTTTATAAACCCCACTCTCTATTCACACTTTTCCTCTGGTTTCTTATCCTCTTCTTCCCCAGTTCTTAGATTTGTTGAGCAATAATCGACCTTACGGTTCATCCGGCTTTTATTCCTCTCATCGATTGGAGCTGTTGAGTCATTTTGATACGGTTGATTCGTACGATTCTTGGGATTGACGGCCAAGTCTAGTGTGGACCCCGCTATGTATGTTGTGTACCACAGACTAGATTGTTTAATTCCATTCTGTGACTGTGTTAAATTTTATCTCTTTGCGTGCAAGGACGGCATTAGGTATCACGGCTGAAATAAGAACTCCTTCAGTAAAATGCGCAGCACTGTTAGCCCGAAGAACATTTTTATCTCTCTCTATAAAAGGCAGGATGTGTGTGTGTGTATCTCTGTCTATAAAAGGCAGGATGTGTGTGTGTGTGTGTGTGTGTGTGTGTAACGAATGCACGGCCGCAATTTTCGATGGATTTGCACCAAAATTTACATGCACGTACAAGTTAGTGGGAAGGCCAAGACCGACTTTGCATTTCCCAACTCCCATTGATAGTGGAAATAATCGATTTTTATGCTTCTACGGCAGTTTTCATGTAGTTTGCGGCCATTTTGCACTGGCCAGAGTGAGAGCCAATAGCTGGCTGCCACGAATAGGCAGGAAGATTCTATTGGCCAGCGTGAGAGCCAACAGCTGACTGACACGAATGTTAACTCGTATGCTAGCATGCAAAAAAAAAAAATCGATAGCTGCATTCGTCACAAGTGGGAAAAACTTAAATCTGCATGGCACTTTACTCCAATTGGCTCATTCGCTTGCTTAAACTCAACGTTGATTCTGATTCCGCAGAACTGGGTTGGGTGTGAAAAAGTATTTGTTGTTAACATTCTTTTTTCATTCGGTTTTTCCAGTTACGAGTCCTTTTTTAAAGCTGATCGTTTTGTGTTCATTTTGTTTAGTTCTTTTTTCGTAACAGATTTAATGTTTAGTATAGAGCTTAGAAAAAATTCGCAGTGTGAGATAGGCAAGAAGTAAGGCATGTAGCAACATCAGCACGGCAAAGGGCACTCCTTTAAAGGCAAAGAAGGGCAAAAATATTTTAAGTCAAGTGATATCGATTGCTGTATGAGTCGTACGATTTTTGAATCAATCACGGGCAACGCCGGGCCATGCTGCTAGTTGAAAATAAAGAGAAACTGGTGAATATAATGTCTTTATTTTTTTTTACTGAAGGATTAAGCTTTCAACTTGCTAAAGGAATGATCCGCCTGTCGACCATCCCTCAATTCTGTCATACATGTGTCTTTGTTTTCGTTCCGGCCATAGGAATTGCAGGTGTGTTCTATAGTGACGGTTGTCTTACGATGCAATCCCGGGCAACTCCGAGCCGACTTCCTCCTGGACCCGTTCTCCCGTCTGCCTTTTTTCGGATCCCATTCTCGGTGTGACTGTCTGGTGGGATCTCGTTTATATAGATACCGCCCCCCACCAAAATTTGACATTGATATATCTAAATTCTCTCCTCTGACCGTCTTAATTTTAGGAGGTATGTTAATAATCACATGGCAATCATTTTGCCGTTAGAATTTTCTGTCCTTTAATTCTGTAAAGGTAATGGTGTTGTGGGGCGGACAGCATCAATGTGGACAAATCCCAAGCTTGGGAGAAAGACAAAAGCTAGATGATTTATTTCGTATAAAAGAATTTAGGTGATTCTTTTATGTAGGGCGATACGCGTGTTTTACGGATAGTATAATTTTGTGGTATGAAACAGATGCATTTATTTGTCTAGAAGAGTTTGGGTCACTCTTTTTATGTAAGAACATACACCGTTTTGGAACGATAACATAAATGTAAACAAACCCCAGAATTTAATTTCTCAGGACGAAAAATATTCGGAAAAAACATTAATCATGTCTTCTTTTTATCGTCGGGAAGTAGATATGGTGGGGGGACCTTGATTTTGATCAATTTTAGTGAATCTTGGCTAGTTAATTCTGGGTTCGATTCTCCTTGAGACTGTCCTTAAATTCATTTTATTGTTTTAAAACATAATTTTTAACCAGTTACTTTTAAAAATTTTTTTACTCAACTATTCAACCTATTACTCGCATGAAAATTCTAATAATTATTATCCAATTAGTAGTCACTCTAAATCTCCATCCTGCAATTTTAAACGGGACGCAGAGATGAAAAAAATAGTTAAATATTCTTCTCTTGCTGATAGATTTTTTTTTACTCCTGTGGCAGTGGAGACTTCAGGGGTTATTTGGCTCCCGTTCGATTGCGTTCCTTCGGAGGATTGGTGTGATTGCGTCTCGATTAAGGGATGAGCCTCACGAAACGGTGTGGCTCTTGCAGCGTGTCTCACTGGCCATGGTTCGAGGTAATGCTTTCTCCATCATTGCTGCTGGCAGAGGATAGAAAAAAAAATGTTTATAGTTTCTGGAATTGTCATCAATGGTCAACTGAACTTGCTTTGTTTCAATATATTAAATATTTCTATTGCTGGAAAAAAAATAAAACGTTTAACAGTGACTTAAGCCAATAATGACATTTTTGGTAGGTTATTGTATTAATAATTGTGGTAAATTGATGTTATTCTAAGATTCGGCACCCCCAGTGCACAAAATGTGCAGACCTTTGGGAGAATAAAGAAGTTTCTTTAAGATTTTTTCACTTGTCGATGGATAAATTGTCGTCTAAATTACGCAAAAATGGAAATAACACTGATATCTCATTTTAACAGATATATTTAGCAAATTACACAAAAATATATTGAAATACTAAAGAGTACATTTATTCAATAAAATCGCCATTAGCTTCAACCACGGCCTCCAGACGACTTTGGAATATCATGCATCTCTTCTTGACGGTCTCCTTGTTTTTGTTGGTGAATGCTGCCATAATCCTTGCCTTCCGTTCATTTTTGGTGTTGCAAGGAGTTTTGTTGGTCCCTGGCTCAACTGCACTCCACACATAATAATCAAAGGGATTGCAGTCTGGGGCGTTAGGTTGACTGATGTCAGGGATAATGTGATCGCAGGAATTGTCTGACAGCCATGACTGGGTTCTCCTTCTTGTGTGGCATGGTGCAGAGTCCTTTTGCCAGACATAGGATCTTCCAGTAGACACTCTCTTGATCTAGGGCAGCACTACCTCCTTAAGACATTAGATGTAAGCCTCCATGTTGAGTGACACACCCCTTTGCCTTTCCTATCTTTTCTTTTCCATTATACGCCCACTCTTAAAATGTTCTTTTTCAAACAAAGAGGAAAAAAAGGAAGTGACGTTCAACGAGCGGCTGGCTTACAAACAGAATTGTTCATAACCAATTTTGGTTCTTACCAGTCAAGGTGCAACTAAATGCACCAAAACGATGTTGCATCTTTGCAGTGAATAATTTTTTTGTGTCTATATGAAAACATTATAATAAATAATTATTGCTCTACCATCGGTATTGAGCCCTCTTTTGAATTAATGCTGTAAACGTTAGAATTTATATATTATTTTCGTTCTCATTACATATATATATATATATATATATATATATATATATATATATATATATATATATATATATATATATTGATTAACATTGAAGTTAACACTCAGAGGCGACTGGCTGTTTTATGCTTGACGCAATCGTCAGGCTGTCCTGGCCTGACGATTGAATCCAGCATGAAACAGCCAGTCGCCTCTGAGTGTTGTCTTCAATGTTTACTTTTATATTTATATTTACATACCGTCTACCTCGGATATTGAGAACTTTATCCGATAAATATAGCACACCTTAAAACTATATTTTTTTTTATATATATTTATATATATAAATTTAAATTATATATATATATAGAGAGATAGATAGATAGATAGACGCATACATAGGTAGCAAGGAACAGAAAATATATATATCTAGATAGATAGATAGATAGATAAATAGACAGACATAGATATGGAAGGTTGATGCATATATATATATATATATATATATATATATATATATATAGCTAGATAGATAGATAAATATGTAGATAGAAAGATAGGAACTGGCTAAGAGAGATATGTATGTAGATAGATATATTAGTAGGAAGGAACAAACGTATATATATATATATATATATATATATATATATGTAAAAATATACGATTGCGTCTGGTATAAAACAGCCTGTCGCCTCTGAGTGTTGACTTCAATGTTCACTTTTATATTTACATACGCTCTATCTGTGATATTGAGCACTTTATCCCATAAATATAGGACACCTTAAAACTATATTTCTTCATATATATATATATAAGTTAATGCTCATTTACATAGCTGGTTATCACCTGCTTTTCCCCCTAAATGCTTCTAAAGTAACCACATTTAAAGAGGCTCTACCAAAATTTCCATGAAAAAAGTTCCGACGATCTACATTCCTTACCAGTTCAGACCTTCACATCCAAGACTCCGCTACTCGATCGCTATTTCCATGGCTAATGTTCAGACGAGCAACATTCATTAATTCAGCCAGTTCAGAGTTTCATATCTAAGCCTCTCGCTACTGTATCGCTATTTCCATGGCAAATGTTCAGACAACCTACATTCCTTAGTTCCACAAGTTCAGACCTTTACAGGTAAGCCTCTCGCTATTCTATCGCTATTTCTATGACAAATGTTCAGACGAACGTGGACCTAGAACAATCTACCCCGGTAGACGAAATATCGGGCTCGGTTCGAAATTCCAATCACCTGAAGTCTTCCGGAGCGTACAACGTCCGAAACGTTGGGAATATGGCAATGAAGATTAGGATAACAGTTCGAATAATGTAAATAATGCAAGTAATCATAATACCTCATCCCAGGGATATAATTCGAAATTACAATCCCCTGAAGACTGCTGGGGCGTACAACAGCTGAGACGTTGTAAATATGGCAATGAAGATTAGGATAACGGTCCGAATAATGTAAATAATATAAGTACAAAGAAAGGCAGTGATTGGTTCGCTCATTTTGCTAAAAAATAAGGAACGCATCATTGGCGATGAATTATTGTAGATTAGTATTTATTCCTTATTATTGCAACCGAGCCGTAAAAAAAAAAAAATGACGGCAATTGATAGACAGTGAGATATAATGGAACAAAATTCTTGAAACAGTGTCTTGATTAGATAAAGAGGGCATAAAGAATTCACAACTAGAACGGAGGCCAATGAACCGTTTAATTAACCCGTTTGCCTAATATTTTTTAGACGTTCATTGGTATATCAGATTTATTGATTACTCTTGATATTATATAAATCGCTTTCTGCTTAATATCTTTCCATGTTAAACATTTCCCGTGTTTGATATAAAAGTGAAATGGAAATATCTCTCGGAAGAAAAAAGATTATCAACAGAACAACAAAGACGACGACGTCAAAGCCTATTTCAAAATCAAGTTGAAGCAAGATGATCACTTAATCGACAAAAGTACCTGGGTGCCTCACATGAAATGCTTGAACAAATAAGACTGCAATCTAAGAAATGTAGTAGTAAAGAAACTGAATAATTAAACGCTTCATTTTACTCGGGAACTAATTTTGTCTAAATGCAAAGATATATTTTATTTGTATAGCTTATTAAAACGACTAACAGGAAGTAATCACTCATATTATAGTGATATACTTCACTATTTACATTATTCAGACTATTGTCCTCATCTTTGTCGCCATATTTATTACAACGTTTGTACGCTCCGGCCTTCTTCAGGTGGTTGGAATGTCGAACTGAACTCTTTATTTCGCTCACTGGTGTAGACTGTTCTAGTTCCACGTGCCATGTCTAATGGATGTCAGTTATCAGTTATCTCCTGGTAATTCCCCTTTTCAAGTTCTCCACCGCCTTAAGCAGGTATTGAACTCATACACTTTAGATCCTGTCACTGGATCTTACCAACGCCTTTATCCATTGTGCCAAGTGTCCGAAACGTTATGGCGACAAATATGAGGACAATAGTCTGAATAATCTAAATAGTGTACATAGTACCTCATCTCAGAAATATAAATAGATATTGATATACTTCCTTTTCCCCTACAGATGGGACAGGAAATATACGTACTACCCTGCCCTCTTGGAATCTCTTGCGGTAGTATCTATAAACGTCTCCTTTCGTTCTCCCGTCAGACAAGAACCCCCTACAAACGGAATATCAAGGAGCAGTTTGGGATTCGTTTCGGGATTTCCTTTGTGACGTCCCCTGGAAACAAGTTTTTAATTCTCCCGTTCAAAAATATGCGTCTGAGGTCTCCTCCTGAGTGAAAGCCGGCAACGATGCTTTCATTCCAGCAAAGAAATGCCAAGTTAAGCCGCGTTCATGCTCACCTGCATGCTCGGCCGCTATAGTCCACATGAATCACGTCTTCCGGCTATAAGAGAGCGATACGTCTGATTGCAACAGGCGTCTGTTTGTCTCTGTTCGTAACGAGTGCAATCGTGTCGCCAATGAAGCGAAGTTACTGTTTGCTGATAGAATGAAACAACGTATAGAATCTCGCAACTTCGATTCTAGAGATTATTGGCGTCTCTGCAAGAGTGTGCTGAACAATAGTCCCTCTATTGATTCACTTCGAAGTGCTGACCTCTACAGCAGTTAAAGTGGAATGCTGTGCTCAAATTCTCTTCCATCTCAACAGTCGACCCAACTGGAGTACCAACATCTGATTTTCCCCTTAGAACTGAGACTATACTGAGTGATATGCACATAACCTAATTAGTATCGGGAATCATTTCTAAACTAGACTCCCATAATACAAGTGCAGGTGATGGCTACCAGACGTCTTCGAAAAGAAATGTGCTCCCGATCTGGCCCGATTTCTCTCCAAACTAAGCATACGAAGCTCTTGATATTAACAGCGAGACTCAAACTGGGACTCTAGATATCTCAAAGACGTTTAACAGTGTTAAACGTGTCGTCATTGAAGCGAAGTTACTGTTTGCTGGTAGAATGAAACAACGTATAGAATCTCGGTTCTAGAGATTATTGTTGTCTCTGCAAGAGTGTGCTGAACAACAGTCCATTCTCTATTGAATCACTTCGAAGTGTTGACATCTATAGCAGATAAGGTGGAATGCTTTGCTCAGGAATTCTCTTCCATTTCAACAATCGACCCAACTGGAGTACCAACATCTGATTTTCCCCTTAGAACTGAGACTATACTCAGTGATATGCACATAACCTCCTCGTTAGTATCGGGCATCATTTCTAAACTAGACTCCCATAATGAAAGTGCAGGTGATGGGATACCAGCCGTCTTCCTAAAGAAATATGCTCCTGAGCTGGCCCGATTTCTCTCCAAACTATTGGCTCGCTGCTCCCTGCTGTCCAGATTTAAGTCACCCTCTCTAGTCCCTATTTTTTTCATAACTCTGGGGAATCTTTTGACCACTCTATGATGCTATTAGTACCCTACCTCTTTTCTGCGAACTATTCGAGGCTTTAATCGATGCTGAAGTGGTCAAGCATATTACCTTCACGGTCTACTGTCTGATAAACAAAAACATTTTGCCCAGTCTGCCGCTGATATGCTTACGGCCATCACCGAATATGCATACGAAGCTCTTGATATTAACTGTGGCTCTAGTTATCTCAAAGGCGTTTAACAGGGTTTGGCATGCTGGTCTTCTACTTAACTTTCAGGGATACGGTATTACAGGACGATTGTTCGATTTAATCCAATCATTCCTATCAAATCTTGAAATGAAGGTCGTTCTGAACGAGTTCGCATCCAGATTCTTTCATGTGAACGCTCAAGGCGCTCTACTATCTTCCTGATGTCATCAGTTCCCAAGTAGGCATTTATGCAGATGACACTGGCATTTATTCCTGCCTCAATAGCAAATTCGGACAAAGTTAACCTAGCCGCTGCTCCTGAAAAGGATCTGCAATCAGCAGTTAACCGGGGCAAGAAATAGCTTGTAAATTTTAATACCCCCAAAACTAAGCTGCTCTTAATTTAACCATCACATAGAAACTTCCCTGCCCGCTATCAGCTTGGCTGATGCTCGACTGCAGGAGAGCTTTTAACTGCACCTTCTTGACCTCACATTTTCAACTGGAAGTGGAAGAACTACATTGAATCAATAGCTGCATCTACCGCTAGGAAATTTGGTTCATTGTGTCGTGCCAGAAGATTTTTCTCGTCATAGTCCATCTTGCACATTTACAAATCTACTATTCGTTCGTGCATTGAATACTGTTGCCATATCTGGCCTGGTGTCCCTACTGTTCATCTAGAGGTTCTTGAAAAAACCCAAAGAAGGATCTGCAATATAATCGATCCTGATTTGGCATCTTGGCTTCAGTCACTTTCTCACCGACATGATGTGGCTTCCCTCTGTCTTTTCTACAAACATTTTCATGGTGACTGCGCTGACGTGCTTTCCCCCCTGGTGGTCCGACTACATGAATTTAAGCGTGCTACTAGATAGGCATCGAAGTCCCATCTTTTTACTGTTGAAATAGTCAAATGTAACCGCAGATTTTACTCCAATAGTTTTTCCTCGCACTTCCCGACAGTGGAACTCCCTTCCGTTTACTTGCTTCTTTGATAACTACAATCTTCAAAAAATTAAATGCAATGTCAAATGCCATCTGCCGACTTGAAACCTGTCCATCTTTTATCCGTTCTTCAACTTCCCCTTTACCTAGTCTTTTCTCTCACTTTCACTCTCTGTAATTTTCTGCGTATTAGTGGCAATCGCGCCTTTCTTGCGGTGAAATAATAAAAAAAGAAAGGAAAAATATAGATAGATAGATAATGAACAGACTGAGATAGATAGATAGATAGATAGATAGATAGATAGATAATGAACAGACTGAGATAGATAGATAGATAGATAGATAGATAGATAGATAGATAGATAGATAGAAAATAAACGGACTGCGATGGATAGATAGATAGATGAAAAAACAGATATATCCATTTGGTTGAATAGCTCGCTAGAAATAGAGTGAGATAAATACGAACAGAGATAGCTTGAGAGAGAGAGAGAGAGAGAGAGAGAGAGAGAGAGAGAGAGATCACATTTGAAAGAGAGGGAAAGAACACGAGAGAGTCTGAGAGAAAGAACGAGGGAGAAGGAGAGAGAGTGAGCCCACTTAGAGAGAGAGAGAGAGAGAGAGAGAGAGAGAGAGAGAGGAGAGAAAGAGTGAGGGAGAAGGAGAGAAAGAAGGTAATAATCGTGGAAGAATTGAAGATTATGATAAGAAATTTAGCGTTAAACTAAAATTATATTTGAAATAAAGTAAGCTGATAAGATGACAGGAAGGCTAAGTAATTCAAAGAAGTGTGGTGAGAGGGATTGTACTATTACCAGAGAGTGAGGGAGTGGAGAGTGAGAGATAGATAGAGAGAGATAGAGAGATAGTGGAAGGGAGAGGTAGCGAGGGCGATTGAGAGTGAGAGATAGATAGAAAGATATATAGAGAGAATAATTTTTTTGGCATATCGCTGACGCATGCGCCGTCTCTTCATAGGTATCATTCCGTGCAAGATTTGTGATAAAAGAATGGACGTCAGAAAGTAATAACTCTCTCGCAAATTACAAGTCGTCTCTCCAAGACTCGAAAGGCAGAGTAGCTTATCTGAAACGCAACAATTACGGGCGAAAAAGCAATAAAAATATTTGTAGCTCTATTAGGCTGAAAACTATCTTTGCAACTTCGGCGAAAAGTAACAAAAATATATTAAAAAGAAAACAGCAAAAAATAACATAAAAACAAAAAAATAAAATAAAAAAAAGACGCAACATCAAAAATTAAAAAAAAAAGTAAATATTGTAGAACGTTGAAATAATGGTGACAAATTTCTCTAATGGCCATGTACAAACGGAAAGTAACAATAATTGAAAATTCTGACGATACCTACCACCACCACCACCTCCATATCTACAGTAATAACAGCAATAATAATAATAATATTAATATTAATAATTATTAATATTCGTCATTCTCGCCGTTCTGTCTCCTGTAAAATCTTAGATTTTTGTTCTCTAAAATAAATGAATAAAAAATTGTTGTCGGAATTATTTATTTAGTGAAAAAAAAAGAAAAAAAAAAAAGAAAAGAAACACCAACGGAAGAATTACGAAATATAACGTTAAAAGCAATCTCCATGTTACTGCAAATTGTAAAGAGCAGACGATATGCATCCTAGTTCAAGAAATACACCACAATGCATTACAGATTAAAAGAAAAAAATGTATGGTGAATGAAAATATCTTGGAATGGATTACCGAAATAAAAAAAAACCCAAAAAACAAACGAACAAAACAAAAACAAAAACAAAACACCTCCACAAAAATAAAATAAAAATCAAACAAAAAACAACAATAAAAAAAAAACAAACAAAAAACAACAATAAAAAACAATGACATAAAACCCAACAAACTCCGCCATTTCAGAAAGAAACCACGACATCAGCAGCAATGAAAGATTAGGGAATCAGACTAATAAGCAATTACAAACCTACATCATGCCTTCTTATATGGAACATTCTTTAAAAAACACACTAAAAAAACGGAAAGGGAATCACGCTCGACGTAGGAAAGTCCAGAATAGTTGCTGAAAAAACAAAACAAACGACAAATTATGGCGATCGATTTGAAAAGAGGTTAAAAAATGTATAAATAGAGTTGCTTTTTACACGACTTCACAAATAGAGATTCTGGAAGTTTTGCATGAAACGTAAAACAACGAATATTCATCATGACACATTCAGGCGATTGCCCTCATTTTTCGGTTGATATCTTCTCTGGCCTTCTTCAAGAATATTTTTTTCCAATCTTTATACAACGCATTTTTGAGTGTTGTTTTCTTTTCTTATTATTCATTTGAATAGCTGAAGAAACAAATATACATATATTCATTGCTTAAAACAACAATTAACCTAGCTCCTTCGGAGGGCTCTTGACTGGGTCTTCGGCTTGTTCAGGAGTTCAAGAGTCACGAAGTCTTTGCATATTCTCAGCATTGGAAGCTCTTTTTGCTGCCGTTTGATATGCGTTTTCCTCGCTGCAGCCTTGACTCTTATGATCGCAATCTGGTCCTCTGTTGGCGGAGATTTTCCGAGGCATACTGCTGCCGTATGCAACAGGCAACAATAAACTACAGCAGAAATCAAAATTGATCGCTGTATTTAAGTATTGCATTAATATTTAAGCTTACCTTTTACAAGTTCACGGATAATTCTTCTGCCGCCACTTAATTTAAAGACAATTTGATGTACGTAGGTCCTTACTTTCCGTAGAAGGAATTATTTTTATTCCATGGGTGACTTTCGCAATTAATGTCGTTTATTCCCAAATTTATGAAAATTATTATCGTACCAAAAAAATTCGTCGCAAAAATCACGTAAAAAATTGCTGAAAGTAATCGCAGTAATGAAAGCTTAGGAATCCGAAATTTCTGTAAGATGAGCTATTGAAAGTTAGAGAGTTGTGTCCCTTTAATTGAAAGAAGGAGCATTTTAACTGCGCATGGCAACTCAAAAGATTAGTATCGGATGGCGTTTACATTTTCAGGAAGTAGTCACTTTATTTTCAAAGTAATATACACTCCTTTCCAGACGAGCCACCCAAGCGAGGGCGTTTGTTTAAAACAGAATCTGATAAAACCAAGTGGACGTAGAGTTGTATACGCTATTGAATCAGTATGAGCGACATAGTGTGCAAATTAATTGAAACAAGACGAATAATTCCGTAATTATTTTTTTCGTATTTTTACAAAGAAACATGACCCAGTGCACATGTTAGTATTTCGTATGCCCGCCTTTATTTTTTAGAAATTCTTTGATGCGATTTGGCGTGGAATCCACTAATGTGGAGCAGTCCTCATTGATTTTTGGGTCATGATGACACACGCCTATAATGGCCGTCACGAGCTTCTCTTGTGTCGTACAGTCCGCGATTTCTCTGTAAAGCTTGCCAATGTGTTCGTGCAGCGTTACAATTTTCGTACGCTTTCTTGGAATAAAGTCCATCGCAGACAATGGCCGTAGGACTACTAATCGAGACAATAGTGTCTGGGCGTGATAAAAATCTGATGCAATCACGGATGACGCAATATATTTCTGAGGCCAACCAAAATTCATCATAGACTCCCCAAATAGATTCATATTACTGTTTGCCACTGCAACTCACCTAATCTGAGGAAAAATAGAAATCGATTACACTCTGTCACTCCAGTGGGTCTAAAACTGACCGTATGACGAAAGAAAGGGAATTAAAGTGGTTTTTCAATTAATTTGTAGAGTGTACGAAAGCACCTACGAGTTTGCCTTACACTTAGGAGCCATAATGAAGGGCACCCCTCACCAAAAAAAAAAAAAAGAAAAAAGAAACGAGAGATAGCGAATGTAGCACAATCCAATATGGCGTATAGCCGGCGACGAAACAACGCCGTCTTCCTCGTATAGCGTGACGACGTAACCAAGGACGTCCTACATCGAGTTCGACGTAACCCGAGGATCTTCTGTATTTATAATATGTTTTCCATATTTTGATAATTTTATTGCATTTTGTTTCGATGGAAACTGTTATGATGTATATGTGAAATAAAGGAGAATAAATCAATTTTAGGGATTAAAGAAAAGATATATGAATGATGCCCTGGAATCCAGAAGATTCGCCAACGTGTGAAAATCCTCATCGCATGTTGCCCATAGATTTTGCTGTATGTATTCAAGAATTAAAATAGGATGCATAAAATCCCATAAGTGAAAGAAAAAAAATGAGAGGTTTGGATGAAGAAAAATAAGAATAATCGAATTGTGAAAATAAAGAAGAAGGAGATTTGTTACGGTTTATCAATCCTTTTTATAAAATCGAACATATTTTGGATTTATTGGATTAGTTTCCCTTTTCCCAGTGAATATTGCATTAAATATTTATGGAGATTATAATGTTTTTTCCAGATATAAGCCCCTACTATTAAACCCACTCATGCGTTTCTCAAAACGTATTTAGGCGTAAGTGAATGTAGCGAAATTGCCTGGGATTCGAACGCGGCTCGCCTGTTTCTAATTCTCTTCTGATATCCGTTACACCACCCGCAAATTCAGAGAAAAGGGAGTAAAAGAAAGAAAATGAAAGAAAAACAACGGAAGATTGAGAGAAAATTGAAAGAAAATAATTGAAGCGAAAAAAGCATAATAATACAAAGAAAAATGAAAAAAGGGGAGGAAAGCAAATGACAAATGTAAAAATGAAGAAAAAAAAGAAACGAAGAAAAAATAAAAAATAGAAAAAGAAAAACATGAAGAAAAAACATAAAAGGAAAAATGGAAAGAAACAATGATAAACCAAAGAAGGAAAAAAGAAAAAAGCGAAGAAAACGAAAAAAGAAAAAAAGAAATAAAACAAAAAAAGGAACAGAAATTAAAGAAACGAAGAAAAACAACCAGGGAAAAATAAAGAAAAAAAAGAGAAAAAAAGAAAGGAAGAAAAAACAAGAAAGGAAAAGAAACGAAGAAAAACCAAAAAAAGGAAAAATGAAAAGAATCTAAGAAAAAACAAAAAACGAAAAAGTAAAGAAAGGAAGAAAAAAGGAAAAAGTAAGCAAACGAAGATAAACAAAAAAGAAAAGAAGAAAAAACAGGAAGGAAAAAATAAAAAAATAAAGAAAAAAGGAAAGAAACGAACAAAAAATCCAAAAAGGAAAAAAGTAAATAAGAAAAAAGGTAAAAAAGGAAAAATAAAAAATAAGGATAAAGGAAAAAAAGAAGAAAAAATAAAAAAAGGAAAAAAAGAAAATAAACGAAGAAAACACCAAAAGGGGGAAAGAAAATAAAGAAACGAAAAAAAGAAAAGAATCGAAGAAAAAACAAAAAAATAAAGGAAAAAGAAAAGAAACGAAAAACAAAAAGGAAAAAAGAAAAAAAAATGGGGACAAAGGAAAAAAGGAAAGAAACTAAGAAAAAACAACAAAGGAAAAAAGAAAAGAAACAAAGAAAAAAGTAAGAGAAATAAAGAAACAACAAAAAAAAACGTAAAAAATCAAAAGTAAAGAAAAAAGGAAAAAAGAAAAGAAACGAAGAAAAAACAAAAAAGGTAAAAATGAAAAGAAGCCAAGAAAAAAAAACGAAAAAAAACGATGAAAAACAAATCAATATAGAAAAAAATGAAAAAAATAAAAGAAATGAAGAAAAAAAAAGGAAAAATAAAAGAAACGAAGAAAAAACAAAAACTTCCAATCACCTGAAGAAGGCCATAGTGTACAATAGTTGTAACGTCTTAATATGGCAATAAAGATGAGGATAACAGTCTGAACAATGCAATTGATGTAAATAATTAAATCTTGACCTCTTCAAGTCTTGACTCTGTTGTTATCATACTTTTATAATCCCAAGAACTTCACTTCTTGCCCAAACACCTAAACACAGTAAACCTCGGAAATTTACTGTTAATTTGTGTGACGAAAATTTAACTATATTGTAAGGTAAAGGGTAAAAAATCTCTGTTAAATTAAAGAAGTAGA